CAAAAGTAGTTTAAAAAGTAATGAAATATTTTAATGACATTAAAAATTAAATTCTCAAAGCATCACTCCATTAAAAAAGTGTATCTTCACGGTGTCTTGTAGCTATTTAATAGCTCCAGTTTTACCTGAAAATATGAAGTGTGAGGTATAGACATTTAACATACTTAGGGGACTACCAGACAAATAAAATACCTAACTGGTTATGCTAGATTACATTTGGTAAAATTTTGGTTGCTTGTTTACCACTTTGGGGATATTTGATTTATGTTTCTAATATACATATAGCAATCTTGGACCAGGTATAAACAGGAATTTTTTGGTTTCAGCTTATGGGATCAAAGCAATATTCATTCCTTTTGCTCTGGAGTATTTCCAAATATAGACCATATATACTGCAGAGCATAGATAGAAAAAAAGCAGTCAATGAGTTTATATAAATAAATATCCTGCATATGACATTTTTCTGCATCAGTAATGGTGGGCAGCTGAAGTGATAAAAGAGAGCACCCGAAGAGACTTCCATTTTGGCAAATAAGTTTTGGTCTTGGCAATCTTTTTTTAAATCATAATCCACAGTAGCCACCTGGGCTACTCATTAAATGTGCTGTCCATTTCAGGATGTGAATATATGATTCAACGTGTAGAATTATTTAAAACTCACCCTGTAAAGTGATACCTGATATATTATGGCTATGCTCTTGATATTGAAAGGTATCTGGCTTGTATACCAGCACTCGTTTCAAATAATGCTGAGTTCAACCTCCTAAAAAAGATTATGGCTGACTCCCTTTGCTGCTTTCACAGCAAGAGTTGATGAGAAGTGGTTGAAATGTCACGTTTATACCTCATTTTGGTCCTCCCTGGGAGCCCATGGTCCTTTGCTGTGGAAGAGGGGGTGTCTCCTGTCCTCCCCACAAGAAGCTCTTGCAGCAACCTTCAGGGCACTGGAGCACCTTGACAGACCATGCCAGGGCTGACGTGGGCTCCATGTGCGTGTGCCACCCCTGCCCTAGACGGTGAAGGTTACGTGGCATTCCCCTTTCAGATCTAACCTGGGAGTAGTGTGGGGTGCTAGGGTGGTGGAGCTCATGGAAGATCCTTAGACAGTCAGGCTTGAGTGACCTCTTCAGTACAACCCCATGCAGTAATTGCTTCTAAAGAGAAAACATTTTATTTGGGGATCGATGAGTCTGATGTGCTGTACAGCCCTTAGAGGTGTGAAGTGGAATTAGCATTGCCCGAAGTGATGGCCAGTTTGGGGAAACTACAAGCTGATGAGAACTCTTCCTGGTCCTTTGAACAAGTCATTCTCTCAAGGAGATGTGAAAATTTACCTAATTTCTATCTCACTTTTGAATGTTCTCCTCTCACCAGCCCTCTAACTAGAACTTGGGTCAAAAGCTGTGCTAGTCTGCTCTTGAACTAATCCTGCTTCTTTTCTGTTGATCAGGGCAGCTCCGATAATTTTCCAAATTTTAACTGCTTTTCTCAGTGGTAGAAGAAA